ATTGAATGTAGCTTCTTCAGGAGAACAAAGAAAAAGAAATCGAAAGACAGGAAGATGGGTAGTTAGCAACGGGAACTCAGTTACTCAACGCAACCAGAGGCGAATACTAACTACCAAGATGGGCATTTGGTCACAGTAACTCAACTACTTAACGCAATCAGAGGTGAAAACCAAATGCCAGGACAGGGATTCACGTCCAACAGCTCAGAACACTAACGCGTCGAGTGGCGGGGAGTGAATCCGACGATTACTCCGCTACCGCTCTATTTATAGTCGCGGTGACCTGTCGTGTCGGGACGTATCGGCACACTCCGTGGCGCGAACGTCAAGAAGCGCGCGCTGGCCAATCATGTGACTGCATCGTGGTAGCGGGACCGGACGGCGGCTCAAGACTGAGATTCCAGATGGGAGACAAGTAGAATACTTCCTCTCGATTGATATTATGTGGATTTTTTCGGATCTCTAGAGATTCGCGGATTTTCCTGGAATAAAAGAAGGGGCTCTTAGAAATAATATGGTTTTTTTCGAACAATATGGAATGACCGGTTTCTTGGCAGTGTTCTGCAACTCCAGAATGAGAGAAAAGACCTGATCGAATGCATCTTTGATGCTCTTGAATCCGAGTTTTGACGGAACGACCAGTTTCGCCAATATACACATGTCCACGTGAACAAGGAATAGAATAGACACCACAGGAAGATAGGGGCGGTAATGGGTCCTTAGGAGAGGGTAGATATTGTGAGATTTTCTTGGGTGGTCGAAAAGTAGTCCTGATACCTTCTTTGCGAAAAATTTTGCCAATCCTGTCAGTGACACTTCGAATATACGGAAGAAAAGCCTCAGGAGTATTACCCGAAGATTCTGAATGTGTCGTCCTAGGGTGTAAAGGGGGATGTAGATGTCAGTGTGTAATATTTTGAATTGTGGACTTGGAGTAACCGTTGGCGACAAGGGTTTTTTGCAGATGGCCAAGTTCTTCTCTAAGGTTGTCAGGTTCAGAAATCGAAATGGCCCGATGGATGAGAGAGTTGATCACAGAATTCTTATGGGCAGGATGGTGGTGTGATAAAGCATGTAGATAACGATTCGTGTGAGTCTTTTTTCTATAAACAGAGTGACCCAATCGGCCATTGGGCTTGGAGGTGACTAACACCTCGAGAAAGGGAAGGGACCGATTATTTTCTACTTCCATTGTGAATTTTATACTCGAATGTTGTGAGTTAAGATAATCTAGGAAGGGAGAAAGGGTATGTTGACCATGGGGCCAGATGATAAATGTATCATCAACGTAGCGGAACCAGACTTTTGGTTTTAAGGGGTAAGATTATAGGGCTAAAGACTCAAAGGCTTCCATGAAAATGTCAGCAATGACAGGGGAAAGGGGAGAACCCATTGGTGTTCCAGATATTTGTTTGTAGAAATTGCCTCTAAAAGAAAAATATGTTGAAAGGAGGCATTTTTCCGCAAGATCTGCCAAAAACAAAGACTTGTTATCATTGGTCAAGTGATCACGCAGAACAACTAGAGAGTCATGTATGGGGATATTGGTAAATAGGGATGATACATCGAAACTGACGAGAATGTCTTGGGGTTCGACCGTGAGGGAGGAGATTAAGGTGATGAAATGTGTGGAATTTCGGACATAAGAAGAGGTACTGCCAGTATAGGTCTTAAACAGATTCGACAAGTACTTTGCGAGTTTGTAGGTAGGAGAGTTAATCGTAGTCACAATGGGACGAAGAGGTACGTTGTCTTTATGGATTTTGGGAAGACCGTAAATTCTGGGGCAGATGGAGTTTTTCGGAACTATGGACTTCTTAACATCATCGGAAAGATCGGATTGTTTGATGGCATGGGAAACTCTCGACGCGTCTTTCACTCCCCGCCTCTCGACGCGTTAATGTTCTGAGCTGTTGAACGTGAATCCCTGTCCTGGCATTTGCTTTGCACCTCCGGCTGCATTAAGTAGTTGAGTTACTGTGACCAAATGCCCATCTTGGTAGTTAGTATTCGTCTCTGGTTGCGTTGAGTAACTGAGTTACCGTTGCTAACTACCCATCTTCCTGTCTTTTGAGTTCTTTTTCTTTGTTCTCCTGAAGAAGCTACATACAATTGTAGCGAAACGTCGAGATGAACCCACTTTTGGGTCACTCACAAATGACACGGTCCAAACCCGGAAGACGAATAAACTATAATTCTGACTCTGGCCGTGGAAGCCTACGATTTCAATATTTATATCATTTTTTATGTCAATATCTTTATTTTCCCGTTTTTTTTAATTAAAATTAATAAATAATTTACGGAGATATTTGCAAAAAAGCAGTTTTTTTGCACTAATTTATAAATTTTATTAATTTTTTTATTAACAAATTACAAAGTAAATATTTTTTGGCCACTTTTTGTTTCGGATATTATATTTGTTACAATACAATTTGAAATCTTCACTCTCTTACTAATTACTTATATTCTAAAGTTTCCAATCTGGTGTATTTCCTCGCGTGTCAAGGATGTATCCTGTCCACCAAACTATCGAGGCTAACGTTCAGATGATACGGATTCGAATATTGTTTGGCCGAAGCGAAAAAAATGTTAATTTTCTACGTGGCACAAGTGTTTAATGGGAGTGTTCAGACGAGTCGATCGTATATCGCATTCGGAAATTTTACCGGAAACGGCCAAATTTACATTTGATTTTTTTACGCAAAGAGTACGATAAAAAATTCGAATCAAACATCAAAGGGGGTTGAGGCTCGAGGCTTGAGGCACTGGGGTACGCTCCTTCACATGATCCGAGTTTTATAGACCTAGACGAATACCAAAAACTGTACATTGTACAAAGGGAATTTTTAATTAGTTGTTTACTGTCTGTGACGTTGTAACGTCGATTTTTGATAACATAGAGTTCCTACATTTAATTCAAGGTCAGGTTAGCCCATGTCGGAAAGAAGGCGTGTTAAGGTCAACTTCACAAAAAACTACGTAGTATGTCAAAATTTCAAACACAATTAGATAACTGAAATTATAATTTATCATTGGACGCCACCCCTTTGTTTATCCTCGCAGGGGACGAGAAAAGATGAGATATATAAAAAAATTTACAGCGAAATTACCTTTATTTCTCAGTAATAAAAAGAAACATTAAAAGTTGTTATTTCCAAAGGATACTAAAATACCATTTCATAACTACATTACTATAAACAAAGCAACTTTCTATCTTTTTAAATCGAGAATTGGTTGATAGAAACAAAATAATTTATATATTATTCCCAAATTTCGAAATTCGTTTACATTTAAAAGAAATTATAGTAGTTATTTATTAACTAGGCAACATAGAAAAGTTAAATCTATTTATTAACTAAGCATAATAGAAAAGTTAAGTCTTTAAACAAAATTTAAAATATTTCACTATATTCTTGTCTCTGTGAATCCATAAATAATTCTCGCGTTCCTGATAGGGCTTAATAAAAAAAAAAGTACAACCGTATTTATGCAATCCCTGGGAACCAGGAAAAAAGGGACATACTCTGCTTCTCCTCATCCGTTGGTTATTTCGTCAAATATTTACTAATAAGAATCCATTTATATAATAGGTACTTATTGGAAACCTTATATAGGGAAGTATTGGACCATAGGAAACTATCTCAGTTAACTTAACATAATCAATGGACTTTAACCTCCCGGAAAAAGAGTCTGAAAATAATTATTCATCTGAAATATAGACAAGAAAAAGCTTTTCTTTGTAGCTTACCTTTAATCTAGAGACTCACTTCGAAAACGCGTCCTATCGGGTGGACGTTTGTAACAGGAAAGGAAGCGACGCTATTTCAACGGTTTTGAATTGGGGGCGTGATTGACAAGTTAATATCGTTCTCATCTATCGGATATGTTGGGAATTACCGTAGGAACCTTGAGTCGAATACAAGCGCCTGGCAGATAGGTGGGGTTAGTAGTTTTATTTAAAAAAAAATAATCAAATTTATAATGAATTTTCTAAAACTTTTGAAACGGTTTACAACGTAGTGTATAAGATACGAGATAGATAAAGTGGACGTGAAAATTTTGATAAAGTACACATACAGTACATTTTCCCAGATATTCTAAAAAAGCATTTTGTTTCGTTGTTACGATGATGATACCAAAGATATTTAGTATGATGATATTTAGTTTTTAATAAATTACCGTATCGTACATGAACGATTACTTCTAACTTCTAATTGAATTTCCTCATTGGCAACTAGTTTTTGGTGTTCTAGGTTGGAATTTTTTTTACTATTTTACGTAAATTATTAATACTAGGTACTGGGATGTCAATTGTTAAAAATAACTGCTGCCTCTTTATATGGATATAGTTTTATCCAGCAATCAAAACGATTGCAATTTTTTCTTAACAAATTAATAATGGGACTATTTTTATTTATATTTTATAAATTTTAACACATTTTGACGGTCAATGTCCAATATTTCTCGTCAGCGCATCCTAGATGTTAGTATTGTTAAATTTTCATTGTTAATGTAAAGCATCATTGATATAGTGGACAGTATTATTCCTACTTGACATGCGTCGAGCTCTGGATTCTAACCCCAAAAGGGTGTAAGCTATAAAAATTAATGAATAAGATGGTGAATGGCATATTAGCTGAAGTCATCAGTGCCATTGTAGAGATGCTTTAAAAACATATATGTTTATAATTACATACTAATGCGTGGTTTTTGTTAGTGATTAGTAATTTTTTTTAATAATTTTGTCGTATAGTCTTAAAAATAAAGCTTATTACTCTTGAACTAAGTTCACTTCATTAAATTTATCTTATTATGTACCTCATACACGACTGAAAAGATTTAAATCTCACGGGTGTATTTTAGGCTTCAGGTGATGAAAAAATTTTTATGGACAATGACAATTTTTTCTAAAATTATTTATTCAAAAATATTCCAATTTACTGACACACTGCGTACGTATATTTTAAATAACGATTTATTATATGTGCATAATTTTTAAGGGATTTGAAGAGAGGGTTGAAGAATGGAAAAACAAGTATTATGAAAAATCAAAAGAAATGAATGAAAAATTGGATGTCCTGCAAACGAAACAAAATAAGCAATTAGAAATTATAGCGAACTACAAGGAATTGGTATGATATCTATTATAAAAGAATATTAATACATTAATACAATAACAGACATATTGTAAATTACCGATCATAAATAAGAGAATAACCATAAAATAAATATTTCTATATTAAATATTAAATTTATAATATTAAATTTATAATCAATATACCCCACTCGACAATCTGACCTTGTTATTTATAAAGATTGTTAAATTGTTAGATTGTTCTACATGCTTTACACGAGTTAAGTTTTGTGTCCCTTTACTGTCTTAAATTTTTGAGCCAATAATTTGTTCTCCGGGTTTCTATATGTTGTCTTGGAAATATGTTAACGTGTTATTTAATGTTTCTGAGAATATCATTAAAATGTAGTTTTAAGTATAATAGTGTTGGTTTAGTGTCGTTAGTGTAGTTAGTATCGTCACAGTATACCTATTGCTAAATAAAGAATTAATACTTTTTCATTCATACGTTATATCCAAGATATTAGTATCATTACCCAATAACAATCAAATTTTAATCAATAAAATATGTTAGGCGTGTGTCATATATGTTCCTGGCAAGAAGTTTACGCCGAGGCGCATACTTCGATATTATACAAGAGAAAGAGAATAACATTTACAGAACCGTACCGAACCTGGCTTGGATGTTTAAGCCAATATTAAAACAATGTTTTTTAATTACTGGGACATGATTCGCATGATATAGCTTTCGCATACAAACATCGATATTTCGTGTTCTCAGTTTTCATTTAAGTCACTCAGTCTCTGCACAAACTTTACAACCTGACATCAGCTTTGTCCAAGTCACAAACAGAAACCACAAACGATATGAATGAACTAAAAGGCATGTTAAAAACACTAATAAAAAAAATTGGTAATATGCTAAACTTACTCACAACTGATATCGCCCAAATCTGAAAATGAAGTACCTACATGAAAAATAGCCATTTGGAACGCTAACGGGCTGGCACAACATGCCCATGAGGTCAAAGCTTATATCAAATCACAATATTAACATAATGTTAATATTGAAAACTCATTTTACAAATCAAAGCTATATCAAAATTCCAAACTACTTGATATTATAATACAAAGCATCCAGATGGCCTCGCACATGAAGAAACTGCATTAAAATTGGGTCATCGATAAGGCATTACCAAATAAAATAATTTTGTAAAAACTATATCCAAGCAACTAGCGTTATCACAGATAACTGGAACGGTCCACTCACTGTTAGTGTCCTTTACAGTTCTCCATGACACACAATAAACAAACAACAATTTCAAGAGTTTTTCAACACACTCGGAAGCAGGTTTCTTGTGGGAGGCACTATAATGCTAAACATACTTACTGGGAATCTAGACTAATAAATCCGAAAGGCAGACAACTATATATGGCAATGAATAGTAGGTAATAATCTTGATATATATCAACAGGTGAACCTACTTACTGGTCAATTGATCCCAGCAGAACTCTATACTTAGTTGTTTTTGTGTCACTAAGGGAATTCCACCCGAACTTCGAACAGTACACTCTTGTTTTGAATTGTCATCCAACCACTCTCCTATCATTGTTACGATATCCATAGAAATTTTTGGAAAGGAACGTCCACCATTCAAGTAATAAATTCACGAATTGGAAAGAATTCGGAATATTATTGATAACAAATTGGATACAAAAATACCTCTGAGAAGTAACGGCGATGTAGACGAAGCTGTTAAACAATTTACTAAAATAATACAAGAGGCACCTTGGCAGAAAGACAAAAATTAAGAAAAACATCGAAGAGAACACGTGCGTCTCAGGTTAAAACTGCATTGAACCAAGCTATCGCTCAATTCATTTTTTTAATAATCATAAGGATAATAGTATTCAGTATTACCTGAAAAACTTATCAGCAACAAAATCATCAAACAAAAACAAAATCTCAAATATGATTGAGTATTTACCAAATCTCAAAAATAGTGCTACCTATCAGGCCACACCCTAAGATTTACAATTTTAGTTATTACAATTTCCTGTTATGAAAGAAATTATTATTAGAAAATGTTTATTTTTCCTTTAAAAATCAAACACAAAATTTACCTGGATTTTACTAAAATTTCTGGAGTTAGGAACTGGACTTACACTCTCTGCCACGCGAACAAATTCATCTCCAAACTGCGAAAAATATTCTGAAACAGCTTTTTAGGACAAAACAAATTGAGGCTGAAGTTGGCACTGGATACAAACTTCGAAAATCTGCTTCTTTAAAAAACTGAAACCATGTGGGTATTTTTCAAATTTGTTGGAAACGCCGCAAATCTCTTAGATGCAAATCTCTTAACTGCAACAATACTACACATTTTTCCATGAAAAAAGGCGAAAACTGAAAAAAGTACGAATTAGATGAAAATTCGGACTACAACGAAACCATTGACAGCGGCTTTACGGAGAGTGATGTAATTCTCTTTCCCGCAAAAATTTCTCAGCGATCCAAGTGGATGATTATTTCAGACGCAATATTTAGCGGCTTAATGATCAAAGAAAATGCCAAGGAAATATGCATCTGTGATATATACATCATCATCTTTGGCTCGACAATCCTCTGTGGATCTTGGTCTGCTCTAAGATTCATCGCCATTCTGTTCGGTTTTTGGCAACATGTTGCCATCTTCTGATTTTTAATATTCGTAAGTCGGTTTCTACTCCATCTAACCACCTAATTCGAGGTCGGCCTTTGCTTCTTTTTCCTACAGGTGTTCCTATGGTTAGCTTTTTAGCAATGGTATTTTCTGGCATTCGTATTATGTGTCCAGCCCATCTAAGTCGCTGTGTTTGAATGAACGTTATGACATCTGGCTCATCAAAGAGCTGATACAATTCAAAATTATATCTTCTGCGCCACTGCCCTTGGTCGTTTACAGCTCCAAATATTTTGCGGAGTATTTTACGCTCAAATATTCCCAAAAGTCTTTCATCTTTCTGCGTTAGTGTCCATGTTTCTGCTCCATATGTGAGGACCGGCCTCAGCAATGTTTTGTATATAATAATTTTAGTTCTTCTTTGAATGTTTCTTGAGTGGAAATGCTTTTGGAGTCCATAGTATGCCCTATTTGTAAGATTTATTCGTCTTTTGATTTCTTCGCTTGTTTTATTGGTAACAGTCAATAGCGACCCAAGGTATGTGAAGTTGTCAACACGTCCAAAGGTATGACTTCCAAAGACTGTTTCTCGTTCCTCATTTGCTATCGGATTCTTTGTAACCAACATGTACTTGGTTTTGTCTTCGTTGATGACTAGACCGACCTGTTTCGCCGCTGTTTCCAATTCTAGGAGATATTGCTCAACATCTCGCTTGCTACGCCCTATTATGTCAATGTCATCAGCATATGCTAAGACTTGTATCGATCTATTGTAAATAGTACCGCCGTCCCTAATTCGTGTATCTAGGACTGCCTTTTCTAAGGCAATATTAAATAGGAGGCAAGCCAGAGCATCTCCTTGTCTGAGTCCATCCTTTATCTCAAATGATCTAGAACTATCTCCCTGTATTCTAACAGTGGCTTCTAAGTTAGACATTGTCATTCTCGTTAGTCGGATAAGTTTCTCTGGTATACCAAACTCATGCATTGATTGGTATAGCACTGTTCTCTTGACACTGTCGTATGCTGCCTTGAAGTCGACGAATAGGTGATGGGTTTCAATATTGAATTCTAATGTTTTCTCGAGAATCTGTCTTATTGAATGAATCTGGTCAATTGTTGATTTTTCTGGAGTGAATCCAACTTGATATTTACCAACTATGCCCACTGTGTAAACTTGCAACCTTTCGTAGAGAATATTTGCTAGTATTTGGTAAGCAGTTGTTAACAGGGTTATACCTCTATAGTTGTCACACTGGAGCTGGTCACCTTTTTTATGTAACGGGCATATCACGCCTTGAGACCATTCACAAGGCATGGTCGCATTATGCCAAACAAGAAGTAATAGCTTATGCAGTGTCTGTAGTAGGGCATCGCCACCATTCTTGTAGAGCTCACTGCAAATTTGATCAACTCCTGGTGATTTATTATTTTTAAGCTTTTTAATGGCTTGGGCAACGTTTTCGATGGTAGGTGGTCTTTCGTTTGGGTTGAAAGGATTCCAATCATTTCGATTTGCTAGGGTGTTATCTGCTTCTTCGATATGATGGCCATTAAATTTTGCATCGAAAAATTCAACCCATCTGTTTAGGATTGAGGCCGTATCATTGGCCTGTGGCCTGTGATATATACACAAACTTTAAAAATGTGTTTATCATCAACCTTGGCGACGCAAATAGGATTGAAATAACATTTCGGTGTTTTCACATATACGAGGTGATTTTAATATACACCAAAGAATTTAAAAATGCTACAACGCGTCATTACAAATGTACCATATGTACCTAATCAGTTCATTACCCATTACCTTCAAGTCAAGCGACTTAAAGAACAGATCACAAATTATACAAACAGAAGCTCTGCACAAAAGTCTTTGACACTGTACAGCATGACTGATTATTACATATACTTAAAAATATAAATATTGACTCAGAGATATTGGAATAATGAATAAATAATAATGCCATGGACAGGAAGCTGTAATGTGTAGAAAAATTGGGAACGGAAAATGTTTAAATCAGACAGGGTGTTTTATCACCAACCTAGTTACCAACGCATACTCCGAAAATATATACAGAATAGCACTTTTAGATGAAACGGCTGGTATCAAAATCAATGGCGTACTCATATGCGATATCCGATATGCTGATGACACAATACTGATAGAAGATAACATCACTGATCTTCAAGGAATTTTAGATAAGGTTGTTGCAACAAATGAGGAGTTCGGTCTGTCATTAAATGTAAAGAAAACTAAGTTCATGGAAATTACAAAGAAACATATTCCAAATATTGATCTCCGTATGAAGAACGTTATAGAACGAAGAAAAAATTATTAACTATTTACGGGCAAATATAAATGAAACAGGTGACTATTCAAGGGAGATAAGAATAATGAGAATTTCAAAAATATCTTGGGTAGATAGTAACCTATGGAGAAATATGCTCAAAAGAAACAAATACTATTAAATATTGTATAAAGCTAAAGTCAAAAAACTTCAATATTTGGAACAACACCACTCCGTGGTGAAAAGTTCAATATCATACAGTTGATAATGGACGCAAGATTCAAGGTAAATCATCGTTCAACACGATTATATTGGTAATACCGGCAAATTTTTAGAATTTTAAATCAACGGAACTCATTAAACTATTACGATAGTTGATTTAGCTAATAGGGCTGATAGTAAGAAAACCAACAGAAATTAGTTCTGGCAGTCTTTCTCAACTGACAAGTGTCAGTTATCAGATACCTGCATACAATGAGGCTGAAACCTGAAACAGTCAATCATATCATGTATGACTGCAATTCATTAGTGACTCCAAAACATATGGTACCCAACTTCTACAAACCATGAACGAATGGAAGACGCACAATAAGCTAACTGGCTGCAGTACAACTGGTTTTTAAGACAACTAGCAAAAAACATATTACGAAACATCTTAGTCGATAGAAATGTACCTATGTGTAAGTTAAGTCGATCTAGTAGAAACCCCTTACTTAAGAAATTGCAAATATTCCCAAATTTTAAGTTCAGTGTAGTCAATATACATTGAAGACTCCGTAGGTTTGTCAACTCCGATTTAAAAGTAATGTCATTAAAAATCATAATATTTGATAAGTTAGAACACAGTAACTTCAAAAGAAGTTGAATTATCATTTGTTCCAAAACTTTTTTGTTTCCAAGTTTTACCATCTGAACAAAATCCCATACCTGCACAAGATTGTCAAATACCATAATTAATGACTAACAAACTACTAGTATTTGAAACCTATAAGCGAAAGAGAAGACCAAAACAATAAAATAAAACGATGTATCAAAATTGCCGGTGCCACTTCTAAATAAAAAAATCTCTAATCGAGATATATGCATCATCCTATGTAACTTTCAGGTCATGTTTAACCATCTTTATGAATGAATATTAAAGGTCGGAGCAACTTTATAGACTATTAGAAATGGCATTTAACATAAGTATCAGATCCTTTCCTACAATTCATTTTTTATTGAATTAGATTTGATTGCATAGCCTCCAAATTATTATCCAAAATGTTATACATGAATTATCTTCATCACTTATCATGAATTTACATTTTTAGTACGCAAAGAGACAACAGGAAATAGACGATTACAAAAAACACAAAATTGAACAAGAGAGATTAAGATTGGAAAAAGAAGAGAAGAACAAGAAAGCTACAACAATTCAAGCTTGGTGGAGAGGTGTTATGGTTAGGAAAGGTTTTGGAAAGTTCAGAAAGAAGAAAGAGAAAAAAGGCAAAAAGAAGAGCACAGATAAGAAAGAAAAGAAATGAATATTTCATTTCATCCACAATATTTTTTTTGTAATAATCTTAAAATACTTTACAATATTAAATAATCCTACCACCTTCGTTGTATTTTTTATTAGAATTTTATGTTGCAAACGAACTGACTGAGTATTTAGTTACACGCTCGTACCGTAAGCTCGACAATTGGGTCGAATAAGCAATAGTTGCGTAAACTCCAAACAGGTATGGACTTCCAATCTGAAAGTCCAAATCATGATTCTCAATGATATTTACAGCTCTAATTGAGCTTCAACCTTCTTCAGCCACTACTGTTCGTCATCAACCGTTGCCAATTTGCCGCGCCGATTTTCCTTACGTATTTATTCTTATACATCGCTTATCCTACCCACTTCCGCCACAGAGGAGATGCAGTCGAGTCTTGGGGGATTGTTCTTGATGTGTGTGATTGTATCTCTCGTTTCTAATACTGTAGAAGAAGGTACGTGGGGATTGTTTCCTGGTATCTGGGGTGACTATCATTTTCTACTTTGGTATCAAGTAGTATTGGAAGTGCTCAACCCATCTGCTTTGTACTTACTGCGTCACTGGTACTAATTATATATCCAATTTTTTCCCAAACATTGTCAGCCGTGGTAATTATTGTCCTCTATTACTTAGGATTATATGGAACTTGTTAGTCCAAATATTACTAAAAGTTCCATATTCCCTATTTATTTAGTTACATTTTGAAAAAAAAAACCAAAAAAAAAATGGCGTGCCACAAATATCAGATAATAAAATTGACAATTGAATAGTGAAAGTTTCAAAGGTGCTAAGTGCAAAACTTTTGATTTTGAGTTATTGCTATAGAAAGGTTGTATGTGACATGCTCTAAGTTCTAACAAAGGCGCTAGGTGCAATTCCTAATACTAAACTTTGTATAATGACTGTATGAATTCGCCAGGGGTATGTGCCTTGCCTGTTGCTTTACAAAGGGGTTTTGTGCCAGACTGTCAAATTTATTATTCTTAATTTTATTGTGATTAAAGGGTACAGTTGCATAAATTTTATAAGATAAACAAAATTTGGAAATTTGCGTTTTCAACCGCAAATTTCCAAATTTGTCTTTTCGACGACCTCGAATGGATACATGTCACACCTGTGATAGATTATACTGTGAAATCCATATGAACAAAGGTATTAGTCATCAGTCAAAATGTAAGCTAAAACTTCACTAAAAGAACTACTCAAGCAAGATACAATATATTCACAACAACCGGTAGCAAGGTTTACTGCTTATCCATGGATCTGGAATAGATCATGTTTGTGCCAACGTTAATTACTTAGATATGTTCTACTTGTCACAGCTTTCCTGTTTCAACTTTGAAATACATGAATTAGATAGACACAAATAATGCCTCCATGTTTCTGTGGCACGAAGGATTCTCGGGGCGTGGCGAAAACGAAATTGCGTCGTGCCTGCTACGTTTCTTAAATACTGGCTTTCCTAACAAGGACATCATTATTTGGAGCGACAATTGTGGTGGCCAAAATAAAAATAAATTTATTTTGTTTGTATTGATGTTTTTGGTTTCTAATGGTGTATACGATTCTATAAAGTAAAGATTTTTCGTAAGTGGTCACAGTTTCATGTCTTGTGACAGGGATTTTGCCTTAATAGAAAAACGGAAAAAACTATGAAAGCATTCGTTCCAGAGGATTTTAGCAACGTTATTACTTCCGTAAGATACACTCCACCTTTCGATGTCATCGACATGAATAGCTTTGGTTTTTGGAAATCAAACAGGCTGCTGAGAAAATGTTAAATACCACTAAGCTACAAGTTAGCAAATCAGTTAGGATATGTGTTGAAAAAGAGAATTCTTTTTTAACACATAAAAGAGGAATATAAACATCAAAACCACCCACTCATATTCAGAATTTGAATCATGGCGTGAAACTAACATTAAAAAAAAAAGAACAAGACGCTAAATGATTTGAAAAAATTAAATTATGTAGTAATAATGAAAGCCAAAAACAAAGTATCACCGAACAAGAAGAGCCTCCAATCAATGATACCATACCTCAACAATCCTCAGTACCAATAGTTCTATAAAAATTTACTAGTAGTTAAGACTGCACACGAAGACCATGTTGAAAACACTAACATGCAAAATAATGATATATTCCGACGCGTTACTGAAGAAAAGTAGGCGAGCACTTTAAAAAGGAAAAAAATAATTTTCTTCGTTTCGTTTCTTTATAAGATTATTATCATTTTAGATTAGGTTGTTTGTTTTGTTATATACATATTTTATGTATAAATAAACAAACCAAATTAATCCTTGTGTTTTCTTAACGTTGTTACTAAATATCTAAAAATGTTGGTTTTGCCACTTAGCTCATTTGAAACTTCCAATCTTCAATTGAAATGGGTTTAAAAGGGCTTTTTCGTTTTAATTTTCGTTAAATAAATAAATTATGTGGGTGTAACACAAAATAAAATCATATATTAACTAAAATAAGAGACGAAAATAAATAAAGACAAATATTTTTAAATATTTTTTTTATTTCTATTATAATATGTTCTAATTTTGTTTTGTAATTCTTATTATATTGACCACTTACACTTTAAACTATTATTTTTTTCCCAATTGGACCAGCATCTCACAATCATTTATCACATCCTCAAAGTTAGAATGTTTATGAATCATAAAGAAACCCTGCACTTGAGCAGGACTGACTTTAGCATTAAACTTTGTAACTTTTTCGGCAAATAATTTAGACTGAGAAGCAGCCTCCTCACCATCATAAAATCTAAGGAACATCCTTTCGATTTGGTCTTGGGAACACCAACCGATGTATTCCTGCATATCAACACGACCTGGTCTAATTAACGCAGGATCCAATCTAAAAATACAATATGAAATTAGTAAAGGTTTGTATGAAACTTAAAATTGAATTCATTTAATTGACCTTTAACAAAAAAAATCGACTAAATCTTTTTTTCTTCTTCTAAATAACGAATAAGCCACGAAAACAGCAATTAAAATTAAAAAAGGTTTACTACCTAGCGCTTGTTTTGTAAGATAGTCATAACAAAATTAATACTAAAACTCATTCTGAAGCTGATACTGGTTCAGATCATAATCCAGTAGTTTCAATGATAGAATCTATCAAAGAAAATAAGAAAACCCACCATGCCATCATTAGATTTGAATCAGCTTACAAATGAACACCTATGACACACGGTACAAGAAGAAATAAATGATAATCTGAGTGGAGCGGAAAACCAAATTCACAACACAGACAGTATAGATGACTGACTAATATTACATCCACAAGGTGTAAATGACTGTGTGAGTAGGACTAATGAATGAAGGGCGACAAATGAAGAATCATACAGAAAAATATAAAGAAATCGATAAACTTGAAAATCATAATAAAGAGAACCAAAGAATCATGGATTAAAGAACAATGTGTAATAATGGAAACTACAGGAGGAAGTATGATACATTTAATATACACAAAAAAGTTAAAGATATTATAGGCAGAAAAGGAGATTCACATACATATAACAGTAAAATTCAAAAAACGTAAAAGTACATCAGATTAATGTTCTCAAAACATAATGTGTAACAACGGTATAATGTATCATGTCCTGTGTTGCTATGTATAAAATGACCACAGCAGAAAATTACATAAAATGTTACTCACTGTTCTGTCATATCGTGAAGATCTGTCAGTTAATCCAAATTAACCTAACTTTTAGCTTTGTTTGTTTTATTTGTTTGTTTATATTTTGAAAAAAATCGATTTTATAAACCTGTTATTACTCAATGAACTAAATGATGTGGCAGAAAGAAATTATTTAAAGGTAGAGCGATATCAGTTACAAGATAGCAGTAACCCACATAGTGTAATAAACACTAGCTTTTCATTAAGTATTTCAAAGTGTCAGAAAACATTGCCAGGCAAGTTGTAAAAACTTTGCGAACTGTAATAGATGAAAGGCAAAGAGCTACAACAATTTCAAAAGAATAGAATGAATGAATTTCAATGGAAGTTATGAAAAATCAATCAAATTTATAGTAACAGGAATTAAAGTTTTCCTACTTGTCTCCATTATTCCCCTGTTTTGTTACGGCCGTCATTTACTGCATTTACTCTGACAGCAAATTTTTGTCACAACCGACCTATTATTTTAGCCCCTGTTGGCTTTGTTTTGCCAGTCAGCAATACTTTGTTGTGTTTTAGGAAGTACAACATCAAAGTAAAAGGGAAAAATCCCAGTAGTTGGCTGTATACCATAGTTTAAAAAAAACCTTCTGGCGTATAATGGTATATATATATATATATATATATATATATATATATATATATATATATATATATATATATATATAATTCCTTCATTCCATGAGCGTCGAGATCTACCTCTTTTTCTTCTTCCATCTGAAGTTTTTGGGACCAACCTTCGTCATGCATTCTCAATAGGTGTCCAAACCATTTTAAATCTCTTCTTTCTATTCTGTCAATGACCGTTTCTGTAACATTCATGTTATTTCTTATAGATTCGTTGATCTTCCTTTCCTGTCATGATATTTTAGCATTTCTTCTCAAATAATCTACTTCAGCTGCCAAGAATCTTCTCTTCAGGTCTGCATTAATTGTCCATACTTCAGAGCCATAACAAAGAATTAATTCAACCATGGTTTGCCCTATTCTATTTTTGTTCCTTTTGGAAATGTTGCAACCCCACCATAAGGAGTGCAGACATCCTACAATTTTACGTCCCTGATTAATTCGGTGTTTAATTTCGGTTTCTCCCAAGCCGTTCTTATCAATGAGTGCACCTAAATATTTAAATTTTTCCCACTTGTTTGATTTCCACTTCCTCGTCTATCAACACTTCAAATCTTTCATCTGAATTGATAAGTAAATATTATGTTTTCTTCATGCTGACTTGCAACTCCCATTTTACATATTCTCTGTATAAACGCATTATCATAAATTCTAGATCATAAGAATCTTGAGCTAGAACGGCTTGGTCATCCGCAAAGTTCAGGGAGAACAGTACGTCATTTCCTATGGGGATTCCCATTCCCTGGCAAAGGTTTTTCCAATTTTGGAGGGCTGCCTCAATATAGAAATTAAACAGTAAGGGTGACATACTGCATCCTTGTCGTCCGTTAGTCCTTTAGTTACTTTTATTGGCTCTGACAGTCTATTTCCGATTTTTTAGGTAATTAGTGCTATCCCTGTATACTTCTGTGATGATTCCTAAAATGTATGGACTAAAGCTGAGTTGTTGTAAAGCTTGCCACAATTTAAGTCTTGGAACTGTATCATACACCTTTTTTAGGTCGATGAAGGCTAGATGTACCTCGGTACCAACTGCTATCCTTTTTTTCTATTAGTTGTTGGAGTATAAACAACTTATCAGTGCAAGATCTACTAGGCGTAAATCCACTTTGGTCTTCGCTAATTAGATGTCCTACATCATCTTGTATTTTTCCATTTATTATCTTTCCAGACAATTTCCTGAAAGTAGGTGGGACACTTAATCCTCTGTAGCAGTTAGGATCTTTTTGATTACCCTTTTTAAAGATGGACACTTGGTGAGCGGTTTTTCAATCAGATGGTACTTTATTTGTTGGCAACATTGATTCATTAGAAAAGTTATTCGTTCTATTAGGAGTGGACCTCCCGCTGTAAGTATATATGCAGCTATATTGACAGGACCTGGAGATCGCCCGTTTTTCATTTTAATTAACGCAGTACAGACCTCGTTGTTAGTAGTATTAAGGCTGTTTTATCGGTGCACCAAAACCTAGGGACAATGTTTTCATTGTTATTTACCGACAAAATTCTCGAAATTTGGACACGTTATTCGAAATTATGTTGCCTTTAAAATGATGGTTTTACTTTTTTTATTTTTTTGAAACTTCTGTTGAAAAATTACATTTTAACATTAAATTGAAAAATAACAATTTAAATACATTTTAAAAATACAGTTTAACGTTCTATTATAACCAAACTCTTTACGCCTATCACTTGAAAGAGTTTTTTTTTCTGTAATCGTTGATTTGTTTCACCTTTCTGTGTTCAGTAATAATTGAGAAAAGCGTGTTCTAACTTTGAAGAAAATTACTAAAAAATACTAAAATCTAATAGCGAAACGTGTTCGTTGTGTTTTTTGCCATTGTTCTCTGTTCCTAATATTTCATAAGCATATTTCTTTCTATCTCATTTCGTCCCTTTTCTAATCAAGATTGAAAATGATGTAAAGAATTAAATCTTTTAGCGAAGCCGCTATCGCTTTATATATTAAATGGCCAACTATATGGCCTAGGAGACAAAATCGTTAAACTTCCCGTGCTCGAATTGGTATCACTAAAGTGTTATGATCATTTCGGCCTATCCCAGCCATCGTCAGACACTTGGGCTGATACAAATTCAAACTCGGAAAGTAAAACGAATGTCTCCGCTAAAAGATTTAATTCTTTACACATTTCGCATAGCATAAAGGATACAGAAAACGATTATTCATATCGTTTCGTTCACGGCCTTCAAAGTAGGGGCCGCCTTTATAAGCTAACTACACGGTAGTAAAGATTTGGGAGACATTCGTTTTACTTTCCGAGTTTGAATTTGTATCAGCCCAAGTGTCTGACGATGGCTGGGATAGGCCGAAATGATCATAACACTTTAGTGATACCAATTCGAGCACGGGAAGTTTAACGAATTTGTCTCCTAGGCCATATAGTTGGCCATTTAATATATAAAGCGATAGCGGCTTTCGCTAAAAGATTTAATTCTTTACACATTTCGCATAGCATAAAGGATACAGAAAACGATTATTCATATCGTTTCGTTCACGGCCTTCAAAGTAGGGGGCGCCTTTATAAGCTAACTACACGGTAGTAAAGATTTGGGAGACATTCGTTTTACTTTCCGAGTTTGAATTTGTATCAGCCCAAGTGTCTGACGATGGCTGGGATAGGCCGAAATGATCATAACACTTTAGTGATACCAATTCGAGCACGGGAAGTTTTTAACGAATTTGCCTCCTAGGCCATATAGTTGGCCATTTAATATATAAAGCGATAGCGGCTTCCGCTAAAAGATTTAATTCTTTACACATTTCGCATAGCATAAAGGATACAGAAAACGATTATTCATATCGTTTCGTTCACGGCCTTCAAAGTAGGGGGCGCCTTTATAAGCTAACTACACGGTAGTAAAGATTTGGGAGACATTCGTTTTACTTTCCGAGTTTGAATTTGTATCAGCCCAAGTGTCTGACGATGGCTGGGATAGGCCGAAATGATCATAACACTTTAGTGATACCAATTCGAGCACGGGAAGTTTAACGAATTTGTCTCCTAGGCCATATAGTTGGCCATTTAATATATAAAGCGATAGCGGCTTCGCTAAAAGATTTAATTCTTTACACATTTCGCATAGCATAAAGGATACAGAAAACGATTATTCATATCGTTTCGTTCACGGCCTTCAAAGTAGGGGGCGCCTTTATAAGCTAACTACACGGTAGTAAAGATTTGGAAGACATTCGTTTTACTTTCCGAGTTTGAATTTGTATCAGCCCAAGTGTCTGACGATGGCTGGGATAGGCCGAAATGATCATAACACTTTAGTGATACCAATTCGAGCACGGGAAGTTTAACGAATTTGTCTCCTAGGCCATATAGTTGGCCATTTAATATATAAATTGAAAATGATGTTTAATACTTGGTTGGAATAAAAGTTGAAATTTGGAATAATGGTAAGTATATTATTTTATAAAAAATAATTAAAATTTATCCAAAAGGATTACAATTATTTCAAAACGTTTTAGATCCAGTAGGAACATAACCAGTGAAACATTTTAAAAAGTAGTTGAAACTAGCTACTGATATAGGCTTAAACACCTTTTAATTAGATGGCAATCATGGTTATATTTATTAAAGTGAATACACAAGTTCGATGTTCTGAAATTTCACCTAAAGGGAACATACTTTTTCCGTTCTCGAAAAAGGGACTACTTTGCCCACTGGGTAAAACTGGTCAGTTGGCTTGTCATCGAACAAATTTTTAAAGAAAAAATTAAGATTTTTAAGTAGTTACAAGGTATGGTGATATTATAAAAAAATATTACCAATTCAGTAAAAAGCAGACGTAAAATTTCATTAACGCACATAGTCATACCGCGCTATAAGAAATATTCACTACAGTCGGCCCTCGTCAAGTGCCACGCGCCCTTTTTTTTAAGCTAACGAGTGATTGTATATGGCAATTGATTGGATCTCCTGTCGTATGCGACGGACAAAATCACTAGTATTTTATAAGTATTGTAACGTAATCTAAGTTGTTTCTAATTTAATAATTCTAATAATATAACAAAGTCATGAGAAGAATCAACAAAAGAATGGAAGTATTGGAAACCATCAAGACACGAAAGCTGCAATACCTGGGGCATGTTATGCGTAATGAGAGATACAACCTGCTTCAAGGGAATACAAGGGAAAATCCAGGGCAAGTGTAGGAAGAAGAAGAATCTCATGGTTGCGTAACTTGAGGGAATGGTACGGATGCACATCAATTGAACTATTCAGAGCAGCAGCATCTAAGATCAGAATAGCCATGATAATTGCCAACCTCTGTCGCATAGATGGCACGTGAAGAAGAAGAAGAATATAAATTAATGCTATTAAGTGTGAATTTTATTTATTAATATATATATATATATATATATATATATATATATATATATATATATATATATATATACGGATATATTGTGCATATTCTATTGTGTTAAATTATTTCAAATAAACGATGCCAGCAATGTCAAGAATTTAAGATTTAAATTTATTTTTGCAACTTTAAATGTAATTCAATATTTTTGTACCATTTTGTAAGTGGTTTTTTTTTGCAAATGCTCAGGTGAGAAATTATATCACATTTTTTAGATTTTAATAGGCAAAAAATTTACCACCTTTTGTTCTACCGCTTTCTACACCTTGTGTTATATTCTTCTTCTTCAGCCTTCATTTATCCATTGTTGGACATAGGCCTCCTCCAATTGCTTCCACGCCTTCCTATCTTTTGCAATTCTCATCCACTGTTTTCCAGCTACAGCTATTATATCGTCTATCCATCTCTTTTTGGGTCTTCCCACGCTTCTTTTTGTTTCTCGAGGTCTCCAGAATGTCACTTTATGAGACCATCTGTTGGTGTCTTGTCTTGCTACATGTGCTACCCATTGCCATCTCAATGTCGCTATTTTTCCCATGATGTCGGTTACTTTAGTTCTTCGACGTATTTCGGTGTTAGGAATTTTTTTTTCTGAGGCTTATATTTAACATAGCCCTCTCCATGGCCCGTTGAATTACTCTTAATTGTTCTGCCATTTTTCTTGTTATTGCCATAGTTTCCAACCCATAAGTTGCAACTGGTAGTATACAAGTATTATACAGGTTTTTCGTTTTAAGTGAATTGAGATTTTTCTGTCTTTTAAAATAAAGCTCAACTTACCAAAAGCAGCCCATGACAATTGTGTCCTTCTTTTAATTTCTAGGGTTTGGTTTTCCTTTTCGTTTTTAATTGCATGTCCTAGATATATATATTGTTCTCCCTTTTCTATATTGATGTTATCTATCGTGATGTTTTCTAGGCTGTTGCTTAATATCTTTGTTGTTTCAAGATTAATTTTTAATCCATGTGTTATATTAAAGTGAGTTTACTTACTTTCAGGTTTCACTGATAATGGTCTGATAGAATCGAAAACGTTTTTAAAATTGTAATCCTTTCGGATATTTTCATTATTTTAGTAATTTTAAAAATATACCAGTTAACTAGAAGCTTTTACTTCTTTGTAACTATTTTTAAACAATGGCATACAACCAACAACAGAATTATATTACATTAAAAAAACTATAGCACTAAAAAATTTTACCTTTCTTTATAATTCGTCGTCATAAAAACTATTCTAGCTTCAGTGCTGGCCACTCCGTCTAAACAATTTAATAACCCACTAAACGTAATTCTATTTAAACCCTCATAGGCTGCTTTTTGTAAGGCGGTATCTTCTCTTGATACAAATGCAGCATCGATATCTTCGAGTAAGATAATACTTTGCTGTGGAGCGACACTCAAAAGATGGTTGAGCCTGTCATCTGACAGGCTTCGTTCTGATAAGTTCAGTATACAAATAGAAAATCCTAATTCACCCGCTAACGCTGTTATGTAAGATGATTTGCCACAACCTGGAGGTCCATAAAGGAGATAACCTAAAACATAGAAAACATTTTTATAGCTGTTTAAACGTAGTATACATTATAAACTAATATCGACGTAGTAATAGTCATAACAGTCATAATAGTTATAAGTGGGACTTGAATCAGTTTAAAAAATGAAGAAAATAATATATTGCAAAATATAATATAATATAACGGGAAAGAATCTGTATATACAAGGTGTCTCAGAGAATATTTTAGAATTTAATCTTACCCTACACCAACCCTGTTCGAAATTAGATGAAAACGGATCGGAACAATGATAAATCGAAATTTTGACCGTCAAGACAGAGAGCAGAAAAAGTATTCGCAGATAAAGAGATAGATGAATGTCGGGACTCGACTATTTTACGTGATTTTTAAACGTAATTTACAGGTCAAGTTTACTTCTCATACTATGATAATTTGCGGTAATTTTGCTATCCATTAAGTGGACGTGCCGATTTAAGGATTTTCAAAGTCATTCCTAGTTTTGAATAAACTGTAAACGGTTGAGGCTTATTTTAAAGCCAACGATTCTTACACAGTTGCTACAGTGGCGTTTCTGTACTCCGTACAATGTAAGACGAGTGGGTGATGAGTTGTTACAAATGTCAAACATCGCGGAAAACCAAAAACTATTCGAACTCCTGCCAATATTTAGAGCATTCTACGTGCTTTGAAACCTACTCCTCAGCATTCATTTCGCAAACATGTACAAGGACTAAATTTGTCTCTTACTTGCATATTTTAAAGAATTTAAGTTAAGTTTAGTTATGCCAATATTAGAAAGTAATTGATCACTTACTGTGAAAAACTTTTTCTGAGAAGATGACTCCTCGTTTTTGAGATGAAGGTGGCTTAGATGGGATTATTTTCAGTGACAAGGTTTACGTTAACCTTAATGAATAGATCAACAAGCACAATCCTGAAAATTCAAACGAACTACACCTCATTCATGAAAGGTAACGATTTAGTGTGGCATGTCTAGCCACTGCCACATGTCGTGGATCATTAGACCTTACATTTGTGACGATGCTAGAGGACGCACGCTAACTGTCAAGAATGTAAGATACACTGTCATGTTGCGGAATTGACTACGTCCAAAATTGGTTAACTTTCCAGGGTATAATCCAGACAACATATGGTTCCAACAAGATGGTGCTACGCCACACAGCAAATACTTCAATAAACGCTCTAACAGAAATTTTATAGTAGCTTTTATATACACTAACTCATCAGCCTCCACATAAGAGCTGAACCAAAACATTCGCAATACTATTAATATTCCAGTGGATATGTGTGAGCGCGTCTTTCTCAATTTGCGATCCAGATTGCAAGAGTGCTAGGAGCCAGCTGGTTCAACATATGTGCTTGTGCTATTCACGAAATCAAATCCGCATAGTCTGTGAGTATTTTTTGGTATTACATGTTTTCTAACGGGCTCGGAAACGGAGTTTTAGTTATTTAAAAATTAAAATTTACCTTGGGATAAACCGTATACACAGAGTGGACCAAAAGTCTGGAAATGCCTAATTATGTCTTATGGTCCAAATTATACAACAACAAGAATACACCTATTCTGCCGTGTTAAGGTAAAAGGCAGTAAGTAACATTTTTGTCAAAAATGAGATTTTAATGTAGTCTACCTAAGTAGTAACTGCTTATGCTTTTACAAAGGGTTTGGTGCACATTGATAGTCAACTTACACCAGAAATAGCAATGGCAAAAAGCAGTAACTAACAAAGTATCTCTCAATGTGATGGTAATAGGCAGTATCTAACGTAATAACTAATTACTGCTGTTTGCCTACACAGAGACCTGGAACACAATTTTTAATGTGAATGTAAACAGCAGTATCTACTTAGTAAAGTATTCACATTTGTATTCCAAGTTTGTATTATAATATCATGACATAAGGCAGTATCTTCTCAGATACTGTCATTTGCTTAAACATTACCTGATTTAATATCCGTTAAAATAAACACATGGCATAACGCAGAAAGTTAAATGTGCAGTTTCAGCCCGTACTTAGACTTGTTTAGTGAAGTTGCTACCGTCTCAGGACTAGCAACTTCAACGTGGAGTCATATGTCGCCATGTTACCTAATCCATCGGTAACTCTATAATCCTAAATCATTATAACATAATTTTAAAACTAAATGTAATTAAACATCTGTTATCGGGTTTTTACCCACATATTTAATCTTGGTGGCTACATTCATGTACTCCTAGACACTGATGATGGAACATGGTTTCCGAAAACGTTTTGTCTTTTTAACTTAGCCCGTTTGGGCCTAAAACATACCTATTACAAAGGATTTTTAATTAAACAAGAAGAGATGTGTAGAAAAAATAAAAGAGGAGAGAAGAGTAGCCATTTGGAATGAATTCTATAAAATGGATTACAATGCAAGAAGAACTTGGATACATGGTTATATTATTCAAAAAGATGAAGCACGTGGAACAACTAAGGTGGAAATAAGAAAGGGAAGTAGAACTTTATTCTACACGTTGCCAGATGAAAATGCACATACACAGCATATGTAAAAAATTATTTTTAAGAACTCCTGGCTATGCCAAAAGAAACGATAAGTTTATCACAACGATGTTACGCAATTCAAGACCGGAATCAATAACCCCAGATAAAGATAGACGGGGATCAGCAGCACCGTCTAACAAATGCAATCGTCAAATTTTGGTACATCATATTTCATCGTTTCATCCATGTATAAGTCACTACCAAAGAGAACATGCTCCTAATCGTTTGTATCTATCTAACGATATCACAATTCGAAGTATGCATGCTGATTACCTTCAGAAATATTTGGAAAATAAAGTTAGCTATTACACCTACCGGAAAATGGTGTCCGACATGAACATTAGCTTTACAAAATTAGGAAATAAGGAGTGCGACTACTGTATGTTGCATATTCAGCATGTAAAATCTCATAATGAGGCAATAGCCATAACAGATGAAAATGTTGTTGAAATTGTGGAAGGTTGTAATGAAGATGAAAATACACGGAACAGATATTATTAATCTAGCAGCTGGTTCTAAACTAAGTCTCTTATCTCTTGAGTAAGGAGTGTAGACTTACAGAAAGTTATAATGCTACCAAGGATTCCCGGAAGCAGAAGACATTTTTTACAAGACGACTTGTGGCTTTTTATCTTACCTTTGCATCAATGGCAGACAAGAAGAGTAGAAGCGTTAAAAAAACATATCGGTCTTGTGGCATGAAGGAGTGGCTGGAAGAAAGGCAGAGGAAGTTGCATCTGCATATTGTAGAGCTTCAGTTGAAGAAAGAGACACCGTTAAAGTATTGTATTGGACAGACAATTGCTTAGCTCAAAATAAAAATTGGTGCTTATTTACCATGTTTGTCACAATGGTTAATACAAAAATAATTGCCGCCTCTCAAATTACCCTAAAATATTTTGAGACAGGCCACACCTTCATGAGTGCGGATTCAGTTCATTACGGCGTGGAACAGAGTATGAAGATTACAAATAAAGGAAATATTTACGACATCAACGATTTTATTAAGGCTGTAGAAAATTCAAATGGGAAAAAATGAACGTAATTTGTATAAAAATGAAGATGTTGTAAATTGGAAATCTGGAGACTCAAAAGTCAAATAAAAAAAAAGGATAGACCTTTCCTTTGCGATATATCTGTGGTACAGTTCAGACGAGGCAGTAGATTACTTTATTATAAAAATAATATTAAGGACAAAAATTTCAAAGAATACAATTTTCTTAAAGAAAATTTTAAAATAGAAATTCCTAGTAAACTACGCGATAATTGTAGAGGTGTCCCTACGCAAAAGAAGCAAGGTATAATTTCGCAACTGTGTCCCCTCAGGCCCCAAAACAGACGGCATTTTTGGCATTCATTAAAAGAAGATGATGTAAAAGACTTAATAAATTTCGAATAGTTTTTTCAATATTATGTAATTAATTATGATTTTTTACTTTTCCATTAATGTGAATTACATTTTATTTTTAATTTGATTATACTACCGCTTTATTCTGCATTTATGTTTTATTTTCAAAACCGATATTTACATAAAGCTGAAAATTCTACATTTTTACTGCTTAAGAAAACAACTTGATTATTATGGTAAACAGCAGTACCTGCTAAATTTTCAGCTAAAAACCAAGTAACACAATTGTTTTGTTTGTCAAAAATTAAGACATATTTTTTAATGTCTTTTAACGGTTTTCAACTTAAAATTCAATAAATAATAAATTGTGTGGAAGAAAAAATTTTAAAATTGCAAATAGCTCAAAACCATTATTTTCGCACTTACTACTTTTTACCTTATCACGGCAGTATTCTGTAATATGGATATTTCAAATTTGACGCTATAGAAGTGAAATTTTATCTGTCCTGGAAAACAATTTTGGGCCAATTTTAATGAGAAATGGTTTCAGCAAGACGGAGCTCCGGATCATTTTGGTGTAAATGTTCAGTGTTATTTAGATCAGACATTTCCCGGACGATGGATTAGTTAATTAGTTAGTATTGAGTAACCTCCTTGTTTATCCGATTTGAATCCTAAAAATCATTTTTAGGGGGGATACTTGAAAAGGAGAATTTATGAAACTATAGCAGAAGTGTTGCTGAGATAAAGCAAATAATTATCGATGAATCCATATTAATTTCTAGAGAAACATGGAGAAAAGTAATAGACTCATTCTACCATCGTTTAGGATATTCTCAAATTTTTTGAGGACATTTTGAACACTTGTTTAGTTAGGGATTAATTTAGCAATATAGTAATCTTTTATTTATTATGTTCAAATTTAGTTGTACATACTTTGAATCAAAAATGTATGTAGATGTTTCTAAGCTTTTGTTTTATCTTTAAAATGTTCCTGACTACATAAAAACGAAAGTATCGAATAAGATTGAACTGGTATTAAAGTGGAGATTTCAATAAAGGGTGTTGTATTTAAAAAAACATTTATTAAAAAAGTAACCAAAATAAAAACATTTTCAAAGCTCATTTGAAGTCGTTAGTGTAGTCAAGGAATCTAATTCTAATCCACTATTCCCATCAACAAATATTATGAGTAATTCAACTTTTGCCTGTTTTATTGCTTACATGATGACACCCAACTATTAAAATATCCATCAGCATTATAAAGCCTTCAATACCTGTAAAATATTTGGGCATTGAACTAAACACAAAATTAAACTTCAATATACATGCTTTGCAATGTCACTCCCATACGCAAACCGTAAAAAGATGGGAAGAAGGGAAGGGATGTAAACTTGCCAGGGTAACACTAAGTAACCTTGAAGAGTCAACATCAAAGACATCAAAGAAGTACTTGGAAATGACCAGGAAAAATCTACGTTTGGCAGTTGGTTTTTTAACTGGTCATTGTCAACTAAGCAAACACTTCCACACACTGGGGCTAGTAGACACACCTCTATGTAGGAAGTGTGAACGAGAAAACCAAACTGTAGAGCATGTCCTATGTGAATGCCCAGAGTTATCGTTAATACGAGAGTACGCGTTCGGCGAGTCCTGGCCTGCCCACATAAGTGAGATGTCTCCTGGTGACTTGTTCACCTTCTTAGAAATGGCAGGATGGACAATGAGCTAAGGGTGACAGCTCTTTGGGAGGATGCACAATGGGTCAATTGTGGCCTAAGTGCTGTGAAACTTAACTCGCCCTCCCTACTCTACAGATACAGATACATGCTTTGAGTACAAAATAAAAATGATTACGACAGCAACACTTTTTGGAGAACTCACATACCAACATTACTACCCTTTCAATGTCTACAGTGAAGCGGTATTTAAAAAAAGCGCTCTTAGGTTCAACAGAAGGTATATCTATCAATGAAGAAGTTTTGAATAACTTGCGTTTTCCAGACGATACAGTAATAATGACGAATAACAATAATGATTTACAGAACTTAATGCAACGACTTAATGAATGCTGTCATGAATACAGACTAAGGATGAATTTGAAAAAACTAAATGAATGATCATAACTAAATCAGTAGATGTAAACTTCCAATTGATTGTTGAGGATACTGTAATTGATAGTGTGGATACCTACAAATACTTAGGAACATGGATAACATCAAATGTAGACCAAACCAAAGAAATTACCACCTTCACCTTCGTAACTTATTTGTAAATATAAAAAGGTTGAAATTACAGAAGAAACAGAGACAAATATAACATAGAGAAGAGGTCTACAGAAGAGGAGTACAGAAGAGGAGTACAGAAGAGGTCTATATGAATACTTGGAAGTAGTAATAAATTATAAAATTGAATATAAAAAATTAGTTTTCGATAGCATAGAGAGCATTGTCTTACCTCTTCGATATGGAATTCCTCTGTTTATATACCACCCTGGATTTGCAATAAACTCCTGACAATCAGTGAGAATTTTGTCACTTACTCCTTTGTCAAGGATAACAGAAGAAATTGGTCTCTTCCTTCTTGGATGTCCTAATGTCCTCCATTCACTTCCCATTGCAGTGTACATTATTGTTTTTCCTTCATGTTTTTCTAATGCCATATGTCTAGCTAATAAATTTTATGATTAGAACCAAATAAAATATAAAGAATTTGTTGGAAAAAGAGAGATTGGTGGATAGATAATAGTCGATTTACATTTACATTACACAATCAATTAAATTTATTTCACTTATATCATGCTATCAAAGCTTTACTGTATGACAAAAATGAGTTGTACCGCCACCTTGAGCCACCAATAATCATGCGTAGTAATTTTACTTCCACTCTATTGTACGGTGTTGGCAGTTAATTTTAGTTTTCGCTAATATATTTCTATACTACATTATGAAGAAAAATGTCAAAATATTCAATTCGTTTTAAAATATTTCAAATTAAGATATTTTGTCCGGGGATAAAATCCAATGTAAACTACACTGACTTTTATTTTCTCCAATTTATTTTTATTAATTACACTGAAACCCCAGTAGACAGTAATAATTCTTCATATCAAAATAATCCTCCTCTTCACTGGAATCAGATTCTTCGGAGTGTGAAAGTTCATTGATGTCATCGGCATTTAAATTTATATATAAATATTTCGTTAATAACATTATCAAAATGTTATTGGAAACAACATCAGCTTCAACTGTTTCGAAAAACTAAAAAAAAGCAGATTTAACGTGAAATTCACAGCTGTCCTTACCAATTCCAGCTCAGGGTAATATAGGTGCAATCTCAACACTTTTTGCTTACTTTGTGGCTACTTTACTATTACAAAATTTAGGTTCAAATCAAGGTTTGTACATTTTAATCATTTGATAGAATTCTGTCTGAAGACATATTTATTCATATTTATTGCTGTAAGATAATCTTCTATTGCACCTTTTGTTGCAATGAAGGTAGGACTTTTATCTTCTCCGTTTTTATGATAATAAACATTATCAGACAAAATAACAGTATTTGGAGACAAATTAAACAATAATATTTCTTTCAGGTACTGTTTATAACTATTGAAAATTATTTCATATTAAATATCTTCCTTTGACAAAATAATTTTCATTTCCAACACCAATTATTATCAGTTGCTGTTTGAAATTGGTTGTCATAATCCTAAATAGTATTGCGTTGTCCATACTATACTTGGTATGTACATATGTTTTACCAACAAAAATAAGTTTTATTATCGCTTCTAAATCTTTTATTCGTTTGCAAATCACTCAGCCAAGTCTAAGATCCTGCTTTTTCATCAAACGGCAATGGTTTCTTTCCCAAACGGAACTACTTTTAAGAATTTACTTCCTTAGCGTTTCACTGCTTCCTTATATCCATAATGTAGACATTGTTATAAAAATAATTAGCTGTGCGTGGCTAAATAACTTTTTCTATCATGTTTTTACATATTTCTATTACCGACAACACCGTAATTTTATAGTGATGCTATGAAACGAATAGTAAAGGCATCATACTAACCATCCACTCACATCCTTTTCTTCTTGCTGATTCTTACTGAACCTTTACGATTCAACTTAGATTTTTGTTGTAAAACACACACACACAAAAGTTTTTGAGTTATAGTATGATGTTTATAATATTCTTCTTACACAGAATCACATTGTAAAATGTTGAGCTATTTATATACATCTCTACTATACTTATTTAAAAAAGCAAGGGAAACTAGTTCCAATTTAAATTTAATTATAACTTTTTGTTTAAAATAAGCCGTAAATATTTTTATATACGATCCCTAACAGTGAACGGCTAAATTATGGAATATTATCATTATTTCGAGAACCGTCGAGTTTTGAGTCAAATCCCGAAACAGGTCGATTTTTGTTACAAAATAACCATCTTATAACGTACATGGCGTAGGGATGACCGGTGTAGGTATAGTGACGTAATCGTTAATTTTTTTAAATAGAAATCGGTATAATGCGACATCTCATTTGAACGAGAATTTAATTCTCTATTTAACGATATTTACATTTTCTATTTTACATTTTTAATTAAAATATTTTTTAAGGGTTCAAAAACAATTGTTATTAATATAAATTCAACTAAAATACAACTAATGATTTAATTAATAATGTACTTAAAGTAACCAAATTATGAATAATAATTATTTTAAATTAAATGTTCGAAATGCCATTCATCGGTTTTTTGACAATATGCGAATCTACAGACACATTCTTCAAGTACATTGCGGATGACTTCTGGAGTATTTAGACTCATTTCATGCCTAATTCCATCTTTCAAGTCCTGTAAGTTTTGGGGTCCATTGACATAAACTTTTGATTTTATGTAATCCCACAGGAAAAAGTCTAGAGGTATTAAATCTGACGACCTGGCTGGTCACTCTATCAAACCTCGTCTTCCGATCCACCTCATAGGAAAGCAATAATTTAAAAATTGACGTATTTTACGTGCGTAATGCAAAGGGGCTCCATCTTGTTGAAACCAGATATTTTCACTAGGTAAATTTGAATTATTGGCATTTGGATACATGTTAGCAAGAACAGGTATAAGTTGATTTCTTAAAAAAGTTAAATAATGTTCTCCTGTTAGATTTTCTTCAAAGAAAAAAAGGGCCAATGATTTTGTCATTAATGATCCCTGTCCAAACATTTACTTTCTGAGGATATTGCGTGTGTGACTCAGTCATCCAGTGTGGGTTTTCTTGACTCAAATATCTGCAATTTTGACGATTCACGGTACCGTGTATAAAAAATGTAGCTTCATCGGAAAAAAGGATTTGATTGATGAAATGTGGATTGCGGATACATAAATCCTGCATAATTTCAGATAATTGAAGCCGGCGATCGGGATCGTTGTTTAATTTCTGATGTAGTTGAATTTTGTAGGGTTTGTATTTTTCTTTTTTTTTTTAATACGTAATACCGATCGTTGGAAAACTCCAGCCTATTCACCCATTTGTGTTGAACTGCTGTGAGGATTGTCATGTACATTTTTTAATAAAATATCAAGTTTCACGTTGTATTCAATTTTAGGACGCCCAGCGTTTGGGATATGTTTAACGTGCTGAGTTTCTCCAAATTTTCAGACTATTTTACTTACTGTTAATTGGCTGATGGGTCTGTCTGTATATTTTGCCTTGAATAAATTGCATACCTCGTTCTGTGTTATTTTTTTTTTATCTCCGCATCCGGTAAGAATTAATATTTCTATGCCTTGTGTGTCATTTAGGTAAGCCATAATTTAGTATTTAAAAGTAAAAATTACAATTGATAACTGATGACAATTCACAAAATCAAAACATTTACATCAATAAATATTACAGTAACTATACCACTATCACTTGCTTGAATTAACATTTGACAAAAAGTTTCAGTGTTTATGAGATAACTTTTTGTGTCCATTATTATTTTTACTTATTTTTGCTTTTTTAAGTATTTATTTCAGAAAGTCAATGCAGGAACCAATGTATGGAATTTCGAACATTTAATTTAAAATAATTGTTATGCATAATTTGGTTACTTTAAAGTACATTATTAATTAAATCATTAGATGTAATTTAGTTGAATTTAAATTAAAAACATTTGTTTTTGTACCCTTAAAAAAATATTTTAGTTAAAAATGTAATGTCGTTAAATAGAGAATTAAATTCTCGTTTAAATAAGGTGTCGCATTATACCGATTTCTATTTAAAAAAATTAACGATTACGTCACTACAACTACACCGGTGACGTCATCCCTACTCCATTGTACGTTATAAGATGAGTATTTTATAAAAAAATCGACCTGTTTCAGTATTTGCCTCAAAACTCGACGGTTCTCGAAATAATGATAATATTCCATAATTTAGCCGTTCACTGTATGTTGGAACAAGTAGTTCTTTTGCAAATATAATGCCAATTTATCAAAATTCTTTTCTTTAAATTTTTTAATTATAAATATGAAATAAACAACATTTTTATGATGTAGGAACTATTTTTGCGGCTTAATTATATATATATATATATATATATATATATATATATATATATATATATATATATATATATATATATATATATATTGATTACCATTTAATTAATTGTTTTATAATCGAAAACTCCTACTAAATACATTTTTTGCTTTTGCTCACGTTTCTTAAATTTTATCAGTATATATATATATATATATATATATATATATATATATATATATATATATATATATATATATACATCCCACCATCATTTTGAAGTCTTTTCACGTTGCAGTAATTTAGCATCACCAAGAAATACTATCGCATTCAAATTATAAGTCATGTATATTCGTTTAGTGTATCTTTTTAGGCTTGACACCGTTGTCAGTGTTTAAATTTTTCGATTTTTTTATATATTTATTTTTTTACACTCAACAGACATTTTAACTCCCTATAGGTCAAATCATTGTGTCTTGCGTCAATACAGTATCACGAGATGTTGCCAAAATATATATATTTATTTGAAACATAGATAGATATATCGATCCGTTTTCGTTCACAGACCGATAGGTCTACAACCTTACCGACCGCCCCGACCGGTTTAGGGTTCTCGGATTTATTATTATGGTTTAGTTGCATATTTAATTTAGCAGGTAATTTTTCCAAGAGAATTGTGAAAAATTATGAATGAACGATCGAAACGAATTTTGCCGCTGGCAGCAACAGATAAGTAATATTTGTATTATTATGGTAAAATTGACAAATACGAGAAAAACGTTCGTCTCCAATAAAATATGTTGATGTACAGACGGTGCCAGTTAGTTTTTTAAAATTAGTATTAATTTTTGGTTAAATTTTGTTTGTTTATGTTTAATATTTTTTTTTGTTTTAAATTAAATTTAAAATATATTGTTTATGCTACCAGTGCACTGTTCATGTTTATTTGTTTTCTATTAAAATAATAAATAACTATGTAAATGTATAATTTTTGATTTACTATAATAAAATTTGTGGAAATGTTGCTTTAAAAGTTAAAAATACTTAAAGAAAAATAAAAAAATAATAATAAAAAACTTTTTACATTAGAATAAATAACTGATACTAATTTGCTGCACCTTCTTCTTCTTCTTCTTTTGGCATCATA